TAGATGGGGAAGATTTTACGAGAGTTACAGTGAAGATACTGAAGTTGTCAGAAAAATGACCTCTCTTGTTACGGGATTGCAAGGTCAGCCACCAGAAGGACATCCATATGGCTATCCTTATGTTGCTGGAAGGTAGAGATAATGATGAGCACTATAATTTCATTTATTCAAAACTTGTCATCTTGCAAAGTTGAAGTCAGAATTATTCACTTGTCAAAACATGCTTCAGTTGGAAGTGCTTTAGTTTTTTTGACAAACTAGTAGAATGGTTTACATCAAACTGTAATGTCGACAGCTAGTTTCAAGCAACCTTTTCATAAGCATTAGAATACTAACAAGTACAGAATGGACGATTGATCTGTCTTCATATAATGATGTTGTCCATATCTTACTTTGGTAACTAAGTATTTATGATATCCTACTATAACATGTACCTCATAGATTACTTTATTTGGAGTTCTGCACCTCTTATCTTCCTCTATCTATCTGTCATTTATGCTACTTCTACAAACCTGCTTTCTCAAATACAGAAATGTTGACACTTGTTTCTTGATTTCAGAAATTATGTCATGGCATCTGCAAAGCATTTCGTAGGTGATGGGGCAACTGAGAATGGTACAAACGAAGGAAATACAATAGCATCGCATGATGAAATTTTTAATATCCACCTAGCACCATATATAGACTGTATCGCCCGAGGAGTTTGCACTGTTATGGCATCCTACTCCAGCTGGAATGGAGACAAAATGCACACTCATCGCTATCTTTTGACAGAGGTCTTGAAAGATAAGCTTGGATTCAAGGTAAAAATATTTGAACTTAACTGCACACCTGAATAAAAGCGCAGAAAGATATGTTCTTCCGAACTTTCACTTGCATCCCTGAAAAAAAGAACTAAAATATGACTTCTTTATCTGGATTAAGTTTGATAATTAACATGAAAAATCATTTTCTTCCTATTCCTTTGTTCTCTTTGCTTTTACATTTTCTTTTCTTTTTTTCTTTTGGGGGGAGGGGGTGTATGGGAGAGGTCCAAGTGTTTGATTTTTTCATCTTATCTTCTGCGGTGTCTTTTTAAGAGAACCTCTGTTCTTGTTTAGTTATTTCGTTCTAATGGGGCGATAATTATTGTGAGATGCGGAGAAGCTTTGTTATATGATAAAAGCAATATTCTGGTGCAGGGTCTCGTGATTACAGACTGGGAAGCGCTTGACCGGCTTACTGACCCTCATGGATCAGATTATCGTCAATCAATCAAGTCAACCATCAATGCTGGAATTGATATGGTAGGATCAAAACAGTGTTTGAAGCCAAAATTTGCAGCTGTTTAGCCCAATTCAAACTTTCCGTTTGCATCTTGTGAATATTACAGGTGATGGTGCCATTTAGATATGAATTATTCTTAGAGGAGCTGCTATCACTGGTAGAATCTGGGGAGATATCGATGGCCAGGATAGATGATGCTGTTGAAAGAATCTTGAGAGTCAAATTTGTTGCTGGATTGTTTGAACATCCATTTACAGATAGATCATTGATAGAATTGGTTGGTTGTGAGGTATTCTCACTTCTTTCTGTCGCCTATTGTGATTATATTTACACTCTTCTGAATCTAAGAAGAATCTCCTGCTTAAAATTGATAAATAGCCTTTCCCGACCCTTCTTAAAAAATAAGAAAGAAGAATTTCGTCACTACTGATGTTGAAACTGTTTACCGGAACCTTGTCTTATTATACTCTCTCTTCACGAAATGCTTAAGTTTTAATGAGATTACATGTTTCCAGTTCTTTGTTCTATGCAATTGTGATTCTGATGATCTGATCAATGCTGATTCTTCAGACCGAACTTTGCCCGGAATTATTGTTCTCGTTAGACTCTGTTATAGTTTTCTTTAAGCTGTCTTGCCTTTGAAAAATGGTGATTCTGGAATTCATCATCTTGGATCTGACTTAGGTTAATGTTATTGTGTCACATTGTTTAAGGTACATAGAGATGTAGCACGTGAAGCCGTTCGTAAATCCTTAGTTTTGTTGAAAAACGGGAAAGATCCAAAGAAACCATTTCTTCCTCTAGATAGGAATGCCAAAAAGATCCTTGTCACTGGAACTCATGCTGATGATCTTGGTTACCAGTGTGGAGGGTGGACTGCTACATGGACAGGACAAAGTGGCAGAATCACAGTTGGTAAGTACTCCCTCCTTTTCGATTTAAGTGTCTTAGTTTGACTACACACCAAATCCATCTGTAATATGATTAACAGAAACAGACTACCATTTGCACATTACTATCGTAAACTCAATTGGATATATGATCCACTTTGTATAGGCACAACCATATTGGAAGCATTAAGGAAAGTGATAGGAAAGGAAACAGAGATAGTATTTGAGCCAAATCCTACGCTAGAAACTTTTGCTAATCAAGACTTCTCGTTTGCCATCGTGGCCATTGGTGAGGCTCCATATTGTGAAACTGGTGGTGACGATCCAGAGTTAAAAATTCCATTTAATGGAACAGAAATTGCAATCTTTGTTGGTGACAGAGTTCCTACAGTGACGATTCTGATTTCTGGAAGACCTATGGTATTAGAACCATCGCTCTTGGAAAAAGTAGATGCATTTGTTGCAGCTTGGTTGCCTGGAACTGAAGGAACAGGAATCACAGATGTCCTTTTTGGAGATTATCCATTTCAAGGGAAACTACCTGTGACATGGTTTAAAACTGTTGATCAATTGCCAATGCATGCTCGAGGGAATTCCGATCCTCTATTTCCTTTCGGATTTGGTCTGACAGCCTAAACAAGAAAAAATGACAGGCACTTAAATGCTTAAATGAGATGGTCACGGATTCATCATCATACCAGCCAGTTATTCTTTGGTTGAAGTCCTTGAAGAGAACTTCAGCTGGATTCTTGCTTCTGAATGGAGAAGTTAATTACATTGAAATATCTATATATTACTGTTGTATCTCAAATAACAAAAAAGAGAAGGTAGTAGCTGTATCTTCTTGTATGATGTTCAATCAAGATTATGAATTTATGATGATTGCTTCAATGCTGAAATTTGATTTTGCCTTTTCTCCTATGACGTTACGCAGTTACAGCCTTACATGACGTATATTCATTTTCATTTGAAAAAAGATTGTCCCTTTTTACTAGAAAATGCATACGCTGCAGTATGTTTTCCATCCCTATTAGATTCTTTTTCTATGATGCTTTAGTTCAGTGGTAAGAATGCAGTGTAACGATGGGTTGATTAGGCGCATGTCATGAGTTCAACCCCTGCCAATTACAAAGGGCAGTCCATTATTCACCGAGTTTGAAGTGTGTTAGCTAGCTGGCTTAGAAGATTCTTGGATTATTAAAAAAATGATTTTTTTTTTCTCTGATAAGGAAGAAAAGCCCCCACATGAGATCATTCAGAGATCTCTGTGGTCCACAGAGCTAACCTTATTTCCACCTTAGCAGTAATTGCAGCATCATTTGTAAAATGTAAACAAGGTCCTCTGCTTGATCCATTGGAATATCTTCCAAGAGGAAGAATTAGAATATTGTAATCCGAATGTATTTAAGAAGAAAAGAAAAACAACTTTTGTTTGCCGAAAGTGTGAGGTGTTGGACTAGCATGTGTGGCTGTAGTTGGTGAAAGAGGAGATGAAAATTCGAATAAATTGACTTAGTGACTTCCCTTCTGCAACTTGCAGATTATTATGCTCTTTTCTTTTTTATAAAAGAATGTTACTTTTTGTCAGTTCCTGTGTGGTACTGTTTTAGTAAACCAATTAAGCATAATGCTCTTGCCACCCTAAATTGAGAATTCCTCCCCTACTTGATGAGTTTGATTTGAGTATACTATAAGTCCAAGTAAGCTAGCTGCTACTGGCCTTCTGAAAGTCATTTCTACAGTTGGAGCAACTACACTCAACGCGATGTAGCCTCGAACACCCCCTCCACCCGCACATCAAAGACCAGACATATGGAGCGTGGACAGTATAATATATGCAGCTAACATTGGGTAAACCAACAATAAGGATGAGTCTGACAATGTTACCACTTTAAGAAAACGGATCCTTGAGCTTAGCTCAACTCAAAAACTAGCTCCTTTCATATGAAGTGAAATCTTTGTTTTTCCTTTCATTTTAAAGAAAAAAGAAGTTGGTATGATACGGTATTAAAATAAGAAAGCAACCATATATTCTTTGGACTATTGATTAGATCTTGTTCAGCACTCCACTCGTGCAATAGTCACTCCAAAACTGACTAATACATTCAAGAAACTTTTCAAGTGAATGAGTCTAAAAGGAGAAAGTCACTGCATTTGATTACCAAAATACCAAAAGAAAGGACAAGTCCATTATTTAGTATGAGAAATCTGCCATGAATCTTACTTTGTACCTTTAGATCATATTAGTTTACTCATTAATCAATGTTCCTACAAGTGGGATCTTGATTTTTTTTCAAAAGGATCCCTTGAAAAAGATCTCAAAAAGATGATACATAATCTCCAAGAAAAAGGAAAAAGGGGGTGGGGATTTTGGATTATGGGAAGGTTTTGAAGAATAGGATGCTTGAGTTAGTGGAGTGTAGACTCAGCTTCAACTAGAAAGCTTGCAAGTCAGACACCGATCAGATCCAGGATTTAAACTTGATGTATTCAATTTCTCTGAGTCCACATGCAATTCTGAACTATGGATTCAAAATTTAATAAGTAATTGTTTTCTCTAAGCTGTGTCAAAAAACTAGAGAGTAATTGTGTCTGCTTATGCTTGCGAAAACACCCTTAAGACTGTTAGATAAGTGCTTTGTGACTAGGCCAATTTGCACTCACCATCCAATAACAGTGCTTCTTTATTCAGTCTAATTGGCTCATTGTCTCCAAGAAAAAGTATGTACCCCGTTTCAAACATTTATCTCTCCCGAGTCTGAAGCACTACATTTTTAGGTCTTTCAACAGGGAAACATTTGCATTCAAAAGAAAAGCTGAAATGTTCGCTAGGAATATCCGGTGTTACTACAATCAATAGTCAAATCTCAAATGCCATAAAATTTCAAACAGACCTTTATTTGTCTGTGATTTTCATTTAGAGTACAATAGCTAGTAATACTCCATGATCTTCATGAAATGCACATAAAATCAGGCCATTTTCCTTCCATCTCTTGTAATTCTATTATGCCCTCAAAAGGATTTTACAGGTTTCTGTCCATTCCTCTATGCTCATTTTGCCACTGTGAACTCCACTTGTACTATGGTTTTAAGTACACACTTCAGAGAGTAAGGATCTTGGACTTCCTAAAAGGACACACTAACTCATGGCTAACTCAAAGTGCCAAGCAACATATATTCACAATACAAGAGAGATGTAGAACGACAACAGAAGCTGGATACTGAATTGAAAATAAGCATATTTTGACGCATTGATCAAAGTTCTAATATTTTGGATATGCCTATGTCATGCATGATAGTAAGGCTGTGCCGATTGAAGCTGAAAATTCATACTTTGAGATCCAAAGTAAGGCTCACGCATAGCACCTCTTTGCTGCAGACTTTGGCTTTGCATTTTAATGTCCCCATAAGAGTTACCTCCATAAGGAGGAGACACGAACAAACTTCCTTCTGCATAATTAAAGCCATTATTCACCTGACTCCACTGAAATGGAATTTTGTGCATGGCATTGTCAGCCGATTTTGGCTGCTGGGAAATCACAGTGGATTGATCGATTGAAGTTGGTTTTTGGTGATCCGGTGAAGGCGTTTGATTATCATTGAGATTTATTGTTGTAATGTCATGAATGCTGGCGCGTCTTTTATCTTTGCCACCGGAAAGTTGTCTGATAAAGTACTTCTGAGCATGACTTGCCACTTGAGTTGGGGTTCTAGTAATAACGAAATTTCGCGAGATATTCCTCCAATCGCCTTTTCCATACTTTTTAAGCCCCATTAGAAACAACCTGAACAAGAATCAAGCAAATCCCCTTGTCAATAATGAAATTTGATCATATAAACATCAATGCTTGAAGAATCTTAGAAACTTAACAGATAAACCAA